GCAAACAAATCCTCGTACCAACTTTCTGTGAATATAAAGAAAGACCTTAGCATCTAAATCAAATCTTCATTTCTTTTCATTCTTCTCACTCCAAGCATTCCTTAAGTAGCAAGCATATTGACATGTACAAATAGAGGCAACGTAGACAATCTACCGTATAGTGTAACCCTGGTCAAAAAAGCAATTGCTTATCCAGAACTCAGATTAATAGCAATAAGCCAGGGGAAAAACAGAAAACAGAAGCAATGAGGGGAAAAAACAGAGAGAGCAACTGAGTCGAAGGTGGAAAGTTTTTCCCGTGACAAGCACCTGTTCTCAAGTGAAACAATAATTGATCAATCACTATTCAAGCATAGAGCCTCCCTGTCCTCACTGAAATTGAAATAACCGAATAAAGGATCAGAATCTAAAGACAGGCATTATAAGATCAGAGTTTGTTTTTTATTAAAACCAGCAGCTAACGCTTGAGCAAAAGATAAGGCCAAGCCCTAGGTACCTTCCTGCACAAGGGGGTTAAAAAAATAGACAGAAAACCAACAAGAGGAGCCACGGACACAAAACAAAATCAGCCTCAGCATGATAATCCACCCCCTCCGAAAAAAGAAATTAAATAAATATATACATATATATATACTAGGAGAATGATAAAAAGGTTTCAAAAGAAATAATTAATTCAAGTTAAGTTTTAAGTGCCAAACTTTAAAAATTTACAACTCAATTTTTCAATTTTGTAACTACATTATGATAAATTTGCAACTTATTTTATAAATTTTAACATGGTTGAAAAATAAAAAAACTATTTTTCCTACTAAAAATTTAAAATACAAGTTGCAATTCATCATAGTAGAATTGTAAAATTGAGAGATTGAATTATAAATTTTTAAAATTTAACATTTAAAACCTAACTTAAATTAATTAATTATTTTAAGACCTTTATGTCATTCTCTCGTATATATTTCCTTTTCTTTCTTCCCCACTTTCCATTTCCATCAAAATGAGAGATGTAATCGTGTGGAAATAATCCTAATGACATTCAATACTTTTGACATCCTTCATTTGACTTATACTACCTTCCTCTTGCATTTTTTTCTGCATACCTAATAGTATTCCCTCCAGATACATACAGGTTCCTTTCAATATGCCATGTAAGAAGGATTAGTCAATATTCATTAATGCATCTACATTTTCTGTTCAAGCCTAACCCCTTCAGGCCTTTACTTCTCTCGACAATGATCACAAATTTCAATCTCACTCCCCACTCCACCCTCTGGCTAAGTCACACTAGCAACTCCTGTTGATCGATGGCTTTTATTCCTACCTGAGAATATATTCTTCCTGCTGCTTCCATCTGGAACATCTCTGAATCAAAGGTTATGACCATTTCCAAAACCTCTGATGTTCTAAAAAACCGCACAAGTCTAGAAGCACCAAAGGGCAAACGCTGTTCAAGTCAGACAAAATCAGAAAGTTCGCTGCATACATACGAAGGCAGAAAACTCAACAAAGAAGCAATTTCTTCCATTTCCTTGTTTCGACCTTTCAAGTTATTTTTTGTAAACCAAGTGTCGGCATCTTTATGTCTCAACAATCTCTAGCTTGATTGATTGGACCGCTTGTGCAACCTGCTCTTCTGCAACCCTTTAACGAGCTGTAAATCACCTACCAATCCTGAATTCCTGATGCGAGTTTCTCAGCGTCTCCACCACTTGAGACAAAGAGTCCACATTTGCCTATTAAAAAGAGATAGATAACGAGAAATTATAAAAATTACAAGTCAAAACCAATTGAAAACCCAAGGTTGTTGAAACCTTGAACACTTTGGTGACAATTGGAATACAGCATAATCATGAGGCCTGTCAAACTTCATGGCCTTTAGTGAAGTGCGATCGTTTCTGTGACATTTTCACAAGACCAGAGACATCGTTCATCATCATTTTTCATTTATTGGCAACCAAAATCATCAAAGCCCACCCAAGAAATCCCAAAGTCAGATTGTAGGTTCTGCCCAGACACCATGAAAATTGAAGAGAAGAAAACGAAAACAGTTTCGACACTCAATAGATGAAAAGGTAATTTAATAGACAATATCCAATTCGAGTATTCTAGAAATTTACACTTTCAATCAAGTTGAAATTTAAGTAGACCAATTATAAATTTATAACCCAGATGCCCATAAGAAATCCTTCCTACTTGGCGCTATAATGCCAACGCCACGCACCATAGATCAAAGCCTATAAACCCGGCTCAGAAACAAGAGTGCACCAAAGTTCAAGCGCTTGCAGCATTACAGAAATCCAAATTCTTGGCAATGAAATTAGATGATATAGACCTGATCCAACAAATCCAATTCCGACTGAGCTAAACCCAGAAAGAAACGAGCACACAGAATCCAGTAAACATTTCCGCAATCGTATTCACAAATCACACTAGTATGCATGCAGCAAAAATTAAGGGAAAAAATCATAAACAAAACGGGGGGCAAATGAAGTTATAAATAAAATAAAATAACCACTTTAAAATCATACACAAATGAGAGATGGTCGCTGAATTCAAAGCAAACCCAGGCATTCAGCTCTGAGATCTTCGATTGCGTAACTCGATCGTCCAATATCGAATTTAAAATAGTACCAATAATTCGCTCCCTCGTCTTTTTAAGGGATAAATTTACAGATACGGTTAACGGATAAATTTACAGATACACTTAAAACTACAATACGAGCGTTCCAAAGAACAGTCTAATCCAATCTAACCAGGTTATCACTGTCACTATGATTGTTAATGTTACTGTTGATGTTGCTAGCGTTTCCTCCTCCTCTCTTCCCGCGCTTCAGCTGCGATAACTCCAGCTGGGTCTTCATGAAAAACTGCATTCTCTGCAATTCCATCTCCTTGGCAAATTTCATCCTCTGCTTCTCCATTTCCACAACCTGTTGAATCTTCGAGCTCTCTGCTTTTTCATAAGCTTCCCCGAATTTCAGTATCGCCTGCGTCAATTCCCTAATAGCACTTCCCCAACCTTTATTTTTCGTTTCCACAGGTACAGCATCAGAATTGATAACTCTTGGCATTCTAGGTCTCTTCGTCTCATATGTGCCCGGTGGAAAACTATCACTTGAAACCGGTGACGATTCTCTCTCAGACGGCGACGAATCTGAGTTAACTGGAGCACGCTTCCGTAACTGTATCTTCTGGCTTGGTGTCTTCATCCGAAGCTGGTGCTTCTGCAGTCGTTGATGAGCCTGATATGGATTCTGACTCACAGCACGAATTCCTACCGGAATTCCCAGTGGAACTTTCTGAGTTGACAGACTGTTCGCCGTATTAGCTCCGGCAGCACTGCCACCGGCAGAACCAGAAATTTTCGCAGTCGGACCGATCAACTGGTCCAATCTCTCGTAGAACGGCCATTTACTAGGCCCCCACCGGCTGCGATCTTGGACTTCTCCAACTTGTACTTCTTCTTCACCGTGTCGATCCGATTCTTGCACTGAATATCAGTCTTGGGGGTTTTCCGGTAGTCCTCCCTGCTACTCACGATATCTGCAACCTCCTTCCAGTGCTTCTGCTTCAGATTCCCTCTGCTCAGTTCCAAGTATCTGTCGCCCCACGCGTCGATCAACACCGCCGTCGCTCCTTCACTCCAGCAATCCTCCCTCCCTCCACCACCACCACCATTACCCTTCGGCTGCTGGTGCTGAACAGGAAGCGCCAGTGCCAAACTGTTTTGGGGCGGCGACGGCGCCGGTGCAGCCACCGTGACCGTGATCCGACCGTTGGATTGCGGCGAACCAGGAGATTCACTGGCCGGCGAATGAGGCGACTGGATCTTGTCGTCAGCTTCCATAATGTTCCACCGCCGATTTGCCAAAGTGCACCGAAACAGATAAAGAGAGAAGGGGAGAGAGAGAGCGAGAGAACCAAATTAGGGTTTCATAAAGTTTTGGCATGACCGGCGGTATGCGGACGCTTATTTCTTTGGGTCTGATTATTATAATTTCAGAAATCGTTGAACTGACGGCAGGTGGAGGGGCGGGGGTTTGATTTGACGGCGTCCGTCGAGAGGGCATAACACTACGGTACACGTGGAGGGATGCAATTGGATGGCGCCGAAAACTCCGTCTGCGGCAATGAGATTGATTTTTGCCGGCTTGGTAGGGGGACCTTCTGCGTTATTATCGTGCGTTTTAAGACGTTGACGATAAACGCCCATATTTGTGTCCGAATTACCGATGCTACCTACTACGGCAGCCTCCGTTCATATTCCCAGTTTACCCCCATTCTCATCCATCGCTTTATGCTATTTCGCCCTATCAATCTGCTGTTCTTCTTTGTAACTAACAATTTTAATTTTTTTAATACAAAAACGTTAATATTTTATCAACCTCATTGATAATATTTTGTATTTTTAAAAATTATTTTTTAAAATAAAATAAACACTAAACATGATGCTAAATATTTAGTTTCCTTTTATTCCCATTGTACTTGCCTTCTTATATAAAAAAAGAGAACGATAAAAGGGTATTAAAATGTTAAATTTTAAAAATTTATAACTCAAACTTTTCAATTTCAAATAATAAATTTATAATTTATTTTTTAAGTTTTAATGTAATTGAATAATAAAAAATTATTTTTATATTAAAATTTAAATTATAAATTTAAATTTATTATTTTAAAATTATAAAATTAAAAGATTGAATTAAAAAATTTTAATATTTAATATTTAAAATATAATTTAAATTAATTAATTTTTTAAGATTTTTCTATCATCCTTTAAAAAAAATAAACAACAATTCTCAAATTTGAAATGAAAGGGTATAAGAAGAGGGGCAAAGAGGTAAATAGGGAGGGGAGGGGACAAGAGAGGAAGGAGAACGGGAGGGGAGGGACAAAAGAGGGAAGGGGGATGCGTGAGTTGTCGGTTCAGCGGTGACGCAGGGAGAGATGGGAAAATCGAGAAGGGGGGAGGACAAGGGGGACACGTGTCGAAGAGGCAGAGGGTGATGACCGGTGGCCGGTTACGTAGAGATGCGAGTGGCCCCGTCCTCTTTCAGCCCACAGCTTCAGCTTTTTCCCCCTCTTTTCCTTTTGGTGTTTCCGGGAACGCGCAGTATTTTGGGGCGTCACGACTCACGTCTTCCTCATTTTCCTCCACTTCTATCAGCCACAGTCTGAGTCTGTGATCATCCCCATTCTATTTTTATTTTTTTCCTTTCTGAATTAATAATTCTAACTTTATTGTTCATTCTTCAGCAATCAGCACAGGAGAATTAATCCAAGCTAGATGGGAGGGAGACATGAGAACATTTCAATTTATTTTTTCTGTCTTAATTATGAAGTAAAGTTTTAAAATCATATTTAATCTTAAATATAAGACAGAAATATAGTAATTAAATTGTTCTTAATATTGTCTTCCTTAATTGCACCAAATTGTTGTTCTTAGACACACTCTTCTATAGTCATTAATTCAAGTGAAAGGCAAAATAAAAGTCACATTCTCATATTTTTTAAGTTTAAAGATGTTAATTATTATCCCTTTATTTTAAATTATAAACACTTTTAAAAAAAAATCATCCAAAATATAAAGCACTTTGAATGTATTAAAGTTTTATTAAATATTTTAATTTTAATATTATTATTTCTTTCTTAATAATTAATTTTTGTTCATTTTTTTTAATATATTAAATTATAAATATTTTAACAGTTTTTATTTTTGTTTTGAAAATATAAAGTTAATAAGTATATTTAGTAGAGTTTATTTATATGAAATTTTGTTTAAAAAATTTTTATAATTTGAGACGGACGTGGAGGGAGTACATTTTAATAACCATCAAACACCCATCTTGCAATTCTTTTTCTTCTCCTTCTGCATCATTTCTCTGACAAACCATGGTCTCTTTCTATCTTTTCTCCTTCCTTGGCTTCCCTCTCCTTCAACTCTGGCGTCACTTCCACCACCTATCGTCCAGTTAATAGCCTTTCTACTTCTGTAACGGAATACTGTTAAATCAACCAAATGATTGAGGATAACATTATAAGTGTTACAATGATTAAATTGGAAGATACTTTATTGTGAATTATAAACTAAAGTTCACCGTGCTAATAATAGATCTTAAGGTGGGAAGTGGGAACTCATTGATTGCTGCTTATATTTTGCTTTCATGTGCAGGGAAGTTCCGTGTTTGGAGGGCTAAGACTCGTGAACGAGGTTCAGTTGCAGATGGCGGCAACCACAGCATTACCTCTTGCTGGCGATTTTGCGACTAAAATCTCTTGCCCCACTGTAAGTCTTCCTGATCATTTAAACATTCTGGATAAAGATAAACCGAATCAATCAAAATGGCCATTGTTCGTATATGCATATAAACATAAGTCTCGTCGAAGCAAATTATAGTAGCCTTTTACTGGGTTTTATTTACCAAGGTGCAGGCTCAACCAGAAACTCTGCAAATTGTCCAAAGCACCATTGCAAAGCAACTTTCTGTTGACGAAAGCATTGTGACTTTCAAGATTATATTTGCGGATCTGGGTACTGATTCTCTTGACATTGTCAGGCATCTTCAGTCAAATCACACTCTTGCAGTTGTATATTTCCTACGTAATGCGAAGTCCTTTTTCTCACTTGTCCTGGTGCTCAACGCAGGTTGAAATTATGCTGGCTTTGGAAGAGAGGTTTGGGATTTCCATGGGAGGAGGAGGAGCTGAGAACATCTCCACCGTTCAAGATGCTGCAGATCTGACTGAGAAGGTGAAGGCTCAATCCTGAAACCAGACATACTGATTCCGTCATAGATTGAAGAATCATTCTTCGTTCCTATCAGATTTTTTTTTTTTAAATGAAAAACTGAATATCTAAACAAAGAGACAGAGACAAAATTAGGGATAGGACTCTCTAACGTGCTCTTCTCTAATATCTTTTATAATTTTCCAACATCCCAATTTCATCTTTCGTTTTTTTTAAATTATTGGCTTATATATAAAATAAGAGATATTTAAATATCTTGATACTTCAAAATGGTAAAAATTATATTTTTTATGATTTTTTAAAGAAAAATATCACAAATACACTTTTTTATTTTTGAAAAATCATAAAAAATACAAATATTCACTATTTTGAGATATCAAGATATTCGAATGTCTTTTATTTTATGTAAAAATTAATGATCTAAAAAAATAAAAAATAAAATTAGGACATTGGGGCATTACAAGGAACATTAGAGAAAGGCACATTAGAGACCCCTAATCCTCAAAATTACCTTTTATCATCCTCCATTTCAAAGAGTAATAAAAATTGGAGGATGATCAAAGATTTCACAAATAAAACTTTAGCTATGATCTTTCTTAGCAAGAAGACCAGCAATAAAAAGTGATATCCTTAGAAACTAAAATAATAGATGCATTCCAATCTCTACTTAGAGATTCAAAAGTTGAAATTATAATATCCCTAAATGGGTACGGTTAGGCAACCTTCCTTGTAATAAGGTTAATGACCTCAACACAGTCAATGTAAATTTTGATTTTTATAAATCTCTTCTCCCAACAAATATTCAAACCTTTAAATTAAATTATAAATTTTTGCAATGACAGGTGGGTAGTAAGGAAGTTTACTATAAAAACCAAAAATCCATTCTCCTTCCACCGTGGTTGCTGCTCCCCCACAACAGCTCATCCTATTCTGTAAAACTGAACCATCAGTTGACAGGTATAGCCACTCCGCAGCATCATCATTATTTTGATTTGGAATTTATCGTCTTGCTTCATTTATGTTTATCCTCTCCAAGAGATGCTTGTCTACCACATCTTAAGTCAAAATTTTAGTAGCATCAAAATATTAGAAATTTATCTTTGTTATTGAAAATATTTTTGTTTTTGAGATTCCAAATTTCTCAGCAAGTATAGTATTTGGGCCCCCAATTTTATTATTAAGATTCTAACTAGTCTAATCAACACCTATCAAGCCATCAAATAGATTACAATACTCAAGTTTGAATAATTGGTGCCAAAGATATCTTATAAATTGACAATCTCTTATAACATGCATAGCGTCTTCATTTGCTTCACACCCATAAAGGCGATGCTATTATCAGAGAAATACCTTCAAGCTCTAAGTTCCTTCGTAAGAATTTTGTCTTTTGCCAATAGCTAAAGGAACATCTTCATCTTCTCCGGCACATTAATCTTCCAAATTTTTGTCCACAAGCCATCTTGAAGATCATGTGTACCTACGAAAAGAAAATGATATGCGGATTTGACAGAAAAGAAACCATCAGTAAATGGTTTCCATATATATATATATATACATACACATATATATTTTTATCATCTCCACTTATCTCACCACTCATCTCTCCATGGCAAAAGGTACTAGTAATAAGTTTAACAATGTTAGGCTCAAACAAGTAGAGAAATCGAGTTCTATCCCATTCTCCATTAGTAGTAAAAAAATTAGCAACCTTTTCTTCCAAATTCAAAAGGCAAAAGCAACAATTTGAAAGAGAGGAATTCCAACACTAGACAAGTATTTTAAGTAAAATTTAGTTTGACGCCTTGACATAGTCTTCTCCCCCAAACCAGACACAAAAGTATCCTAGACTTGAATTATACTTCTCCAAACAGTCAAAGCCACTTGTCTATGCTTAATTTGGGAAAAAATATCATTCTCACATTTATATTTAGAACGAAGAACTTTAACCCATAAGTATTAGGAGAAGTAACAATTTTCCAACACAATTTCATAATGAAAGCTTCGTTCTAACATCTCAAGTCTTTAAAGCCCAATTGATCACTCTAGTAAGTATATAAGATCACAGTAATAAATTATTCGAAGTATTTCAGGTGTTGGAACTTTCAGAAAAGTTACGCTTTTACTAATTTAAATAATTAATAGTTCAAGAAAAATAGGTAAAATGGCTAATTAGATGAAAATATATATAATAAAAACAAATCAAGGAAATAATAATGATGAAAACACAATCACTTGAAATATTGTGGTTTAAGATTTATCCTATAGATTGTTAGTTTCTACCTTTTGAGTTGACTATGATCGAATTATTGTAACAACTATTACTAAATTGTCTTAATATTTTTTTAAATTATTAATCTTTTTTTAATTAGAATTGAATTCACTCCCACGATACCCAAATAACTAATTAAACTATAAAGTTATAGTTTAAATCATCATAAATTTTTACAACTATATATCCCTAACCTAATTATTTATATTCATTTATCTAGATTTATGTTCTCTCTTTACCTTCCAATCCATCAAGATCACTTATAGATTTGATTAAATGGTGGCTAATCATAAAATTAACATGAAGAACAAGAGAAATAAATATAATTAAAAAAAGCAAAAATATTCATAAATACAAATGTAAAAAGTCAAAATAAAAAAATAAAAAACTAGCACTCCAATTAGGCTACATCCCTATTCTAATTGGGTAATTTAAAAACAGATAACAAAATCAAATAACACTGTTCTAAAATTTTCAATCATAAAAAAATCATAGAGAAAATTAATGAGTAGGAAAGAAATAATTATAATTTGTAGAACTCATCAACAATTTCATTTTCAACCTTCAAAATGTTTTTACAGGCTTCAAATATCTCATAGAGAATTCTTAAAATACTCAAATAAGTGATTGGATGCTTTTTGGGAAGTATTTATAGTTAAAGTGAAAGTTTTTTTTTTCATTCTTAGTCGATGTGGGACTCTAATATATATATATATATATATATATAACCATTATCTTCAAACATATCTATCACCTGCGCCTTGATTCCCACACACAAATATTAATTTTGATGCATCTTTGGTGATTTGATATATATCTTGCATCATGCTTCTTCAATATATGTGTGTGTGTTTATATATTCTTTTCTTTCCTTTTTTTTTATTTTCTTTTTTTATCTAATATATTATTTTTCTGCAAGATATAAAAAAAATATGAATAAATTTTATATTAAAATTTTTTTGTCTTATAATTAAGTGATGAGAGAAAAATATTAAATATTAGTTGAATAGATATGAAATCTTAATAAATATAATCCAATATAAACTAAAATATATACCTATTTATAATTATAAAATATACTCTTATCACCAATCCTCCTCTATTCCTCTCGCTTTTCACCTCATTCCATGACACGAGATGGAGTTTTTTATCTTCATCTCTATCACCCCATGAAAAGGAACAATTAGCTTTCTCAACTTCACGTAGAATTTTTTAGGTATGAGAACACTTTGCATGTGGTAACCAAGGATAACTAAGAGCACCACTTTAAATAAAGTAGCTCTGCCCACAAGATTTAAGAATTTACCTTTCTAACCTACCAATTTGTTTTTAACTCTATCCAAAATGACTTTAAAATAATTATTCGAGATTCGAGTATGTGAAAGTAGGACTCCCAAGTATTTTCCCACATCAGTAAGACTAACTCTCATTTTTTGGCTTAAATCGTTGGCTCTAAAGAAATGGATAAATCTTGAAACACACATTTTTGTTTTTAGTTTATTTACGTTCTGCCTAGAAGCTTCACAAAACTTATCTAAATAGTTATTCATTATCTCAACTTGAGAGATGGTTGCTTCTCCAAATAAAATTAGATCATTCGTAAAGAATAAATGTGAAATCGGAGGCCCTTTTTTTGACAATCTAATTGGTTTTCAGTTACCTGTGTGAATCCCATCAAGAATCATATGGCTCAACTTCTCCATGCAAAGTGTGAAGAGATATGGAGAAATAGGATCGCTTTATCTGATTCCTCTTGAAGGCTTAAAATTGTTGGGAGGTTCCGCATTTCACAAGACTAGCATAGTTGGTGTCTCAACACAAGCACAGATAATATCAATTGTTTTGTTGTCCAAACCAACTTATACCAAACATTGCCGAATGAATAATCAAGTAAGTCTATCATAAGCCTTCTCTAAATTTACTTTAATTGCTACAAACCCATTCTTGGTCTTCTTAGTTCTCATGGAACGAATGGCTTCCTGCGCTATAATAATATTATCACAACTTTGTTTGCCTGCTATAAAACTGCTTTGGTATTCCCCCACAATTTTAGGCATATTCTTTCTAATCCTAGCAATAAAGATTTTGAATATGTTCTTATAACTGACATTGCACAGGAAAATTGGTCTTAATTCTTTGATAGTCTCATGCTTGTCTAATTTGAGAACAAGAGTTAGATGCGTCTGATTTATACCTGGAGACTCAGGTCAAGCAAAAGCTCCCTGAACAAGATCACAAATATTACTGCCAAGAAAGATGTTAGGTCTCAGCTTTGCCCCCCGCCCCCCTTGAGAATTTTTTTTACACAAACAAGAAAGATGTTAGCTTTAGTTCTCTACGGATTGTCATTTTACTCCGAAGTTATATTGATGTTAACAGATCAAATTAATGCACACGGTCATATGTTCACGTGAAGATATTCTATAGAAATTCTTTACAGAACTTCCTTGGGTTTAGATTCACAGCTTGAATGAGATGAGCTTGGACCGTTGAAGAAAAATGTTGGAAGAGTGATTTGGGAATACAGAGTAATTGCATTATGAAGTTCATGATATCTATCATTAAACAAGTAATCCATTCGTATTTACAAAAGCAAAACCCAGTACAGAATGGGAAAAAAAAGAAGAAGCAAAATAAGTTCTAAAAAAAAAAACATTCATGTGTACAAACAGAGAAACTAAAGAAAAATAAGTGGTCAAATTCAGCAAGTCTGCTTTCTTCCTCTTCTCAATTTTTAGAATCTCGTTAAGCCCTGACTTTTCCTGCAAGTACTAATCTGCATCTGATCTGACCCATCTTATTGATAACTGAATGTTGTATATTTATGTTTGTATGTGTCTCT